TCAGAAACCATGCAAGGAAGAAGAGAGTGGAATGCAATATTTAAAGTGTTATGAGAAAAAAGCCCATCAAACTAGAATTCTGTACCCTGCAAAGTTATCTTTCAGAGTGAAGTAGAGACTTCCTCAGACAAAGTTTGAGGAAATTTGTTACCAGCAGATCTGCCTTGAAAGAAATATTAAAAGAAGTTCTTTAGTGAGAAGGAAAATGATATGGGTCAAAGACTCAGATCTACATAGTGTTGAAGAAGGAATAAGTAGAAGTAAAATTAAAAAAAAAAAAAAATACCCAAACCAAAAGCTTACATTGGCTTGGGGTGTAGAATGGAGGACACATGCCCTGTCTTTAAGAAACGCACATTCTGAAAGGAAAGAAAAGAAACAGCACAGCTGGTGGAAAGTGAGTAGGCTTTGGAGTCTGGATGACTGAGTTCTAGGTCAAGCTCACGAGCTGGGTGTGTTAGGGCAGGCTGCTTAACTTCTCTGACCTGTTTCCTCAACTAATGTTGGAGAATGAGAAGTAACGTGTACGTATGTAATATGGGATTCAACAGGTGAGGGCTTCATTGTTATGTCATTACATAGCTTGTTCAAATACAAGCCAGAACATGACACGTGACATACACGATGACCGGACAAAGTGCTGAGGAATGTTAAAGGTAGGAAACATTTTTTTTTCCATCCATGGGACTCAGAAACATCTTCATGAAGGCAGTGCTCATGAGAACACAGCTTCTTTTAATTCTTCAGTTGTTTAAGTCGGGCAATAGCTGCTATTTATTGAGAGCCTACTATTCGCTGGGCATTGAACCAGATGTTTTTCGTTCACCACTTCATGTAATCCACTCAGTATTACCAGGCAGAGATTATTATTCCCTCTTCTCAGGTGATAAAAATGACATTCAGCATGGTTAGACAAGTTGCCCGTGACCACACAGTTAGTAAATGATGGAGCTTGGAATTCTAACCCAAATCATTGCATTCTGAAACTTGAGGAGAATGGTCTTAGTTTTTAGGTGTCATGCTGGTCATTGTGCATGGTTACTGTTATTCCAAACACGGCTTTTCCATTTATCTTTGGGATGTGCCACAAGGGGGCAGGTTGCTCTTGGAGGATCCTTACATGCATCAATCTCTTTTGAAGAGATTCAAGCCAAGACTTTCATACTGACAAGGAGAACTGAAGCTTAGAGCAGGAAACCCAGGCCAAAGTTCTGCCCTACGCAGTCTGGGAATTTAGGAGAAGGCTCTCAACTCGTGAGAACCACAGGTTCCCAGTGCTCAGACCAGGACCAGACACCACACACTAAGATACTCTAGCCCAGTCCTTGCTGGCTGGGCACCCGGTGAGGTCTTGGTCAGGATGAAGTTAGTGACTGAGTAAGGTCAAACCTTTAGGGTAAAAGTCCTGTGAACCTGTACTAAGCAAGGATGGAGAATGCAGGTGCTGACGTCGGGGCTTTTCACACATTCTGCCTGCAAATAATGTTATACTCAGGAGATGGGTCCTTGGAACACCAAAAGCAAGATCAAGCCCAGTCTTCTCCCTGCAGGCAGCAGCATTTGATAAAACTCAATTCCAGAACACTGAGAAAATGTGGACAATTCTTAGGGTTTCTTATAATAATAATAACCTCTTATGTTTGTGCAGAACTTAGTAATTCTTAAAGCACTCTCACAATCCTTATGACTGAGTCTTCACAAAGTCACTGGCCCTGACTTTTCTGTGGAAGCAAAGCAGAGGCAATCCCAGCTCATGGATTGGCATTGAGTGGATGTGGGTTCGAATCTTCCTTCTGGTTTGAATAGCTGTGACCTGGATAAGTTATTGGCTCTTCTAAGTCTCAGTTTCCTTACATGTACAGCGAGGATTATCCTCAGGCAGGGTTACACGGTGTCTGATGCACTGAGTGCCCACCCAGTGCCTGGCATGATGCAAAGACTGAAAGGGTGCTGGCCTCCTACCCTCTGCCTCTGTCTGTTTCATTCCTGCAGCCTCTTTGTCAGTTCCACACCACCTGGTAGCTCTTCCTGAAATGGGGATGGCCCACTGGCAAGGTCGCCAAGACAGAGTCTCTGCTTATGTCCCAGGCTCGAGGCTGATGTGGATCCCGGGCAGGTAGTTGCGGAGGCTATGGTTGGGGCCCAGGTGAGCTCAGGCCGCAGCATCAGTCTCTGCTGCTCTGTGCCCTTCTCGGGCACAATAAAGGGAGAGCTGTGGTGTCCTCTGGTGTGGGGACATGTAGGTGGGCTATGGAGATGAATTGGGGCTGCCAGCATCTATGAACTGGGAGATTGCCTGAACTTGACCCATGTAAGGTGGTGGGGGACAGGTACCATGTCTTTGAGGCTGTTATGCATAGTGGTGGTTAAAGACCACAGCTGTAGTTCTTTTTTTTCTTTTGTCTTTTTCGTGACCGGTAAGGGGATCACAACCCTTGGTGTGGTTTCGCCCACACTGCGCTCAGCCAGAGAGCGCCCCGGCCACTCCCACATAGGATCTGAACCCGCGTTGGGAGCGTTGCCGCGCTCCCAGCCTCGCACTCTCCCGAGTGCGCCACAGGCTCGGCCCAGTAGTTCTAAACTCCAGAAACATGGTCTCATACAAATAAGCTCAGAGAGGAAACGGCATGGAATATGTGATGCCAGGAGCATACCAGGAAGTCCAGGACATGTGGCCACTGAGTGTACGAGGCCTTCCTGAGAAGTTGTATTCATTTAGAAATTTGCCGATGCAAATTTCTTTCTTCTAGGGACTTATTTTTCTTTCCTCAGGTCATATGGAGAGAAGACAGGACAGGTGAGATAGAAGCTGAAAGATGTGCTTTTAGACAACCTTTTAAACCTTTCTCCACCTTCCTCCAAATGTTGTTCCCATCTCAGATTCAATCTAC